CTCCTGGCTGTGTGTGGGGTGTGTGTGTGTGGGTGTGTGTGCGCGCAAAAGAGAGAACACGTACACATTACAAGCTTTGTGGAATCCAAGGCTGTAACAGCGTTAGGAGATGCTCGGGAGGACAGGAGTTGGTAAAATCGCACCTTCCCGGGGAAGTTGAGGAATGGAGCAAACCGGAGTGCCTTCAGACACAGGAATTCCCAGAACCCGCTGCAAAGGAGACAAGTGTGGTTCATCCAGAAGGTGTTCCTGCTGACTCGAGGCTCCCTGTGACTCTTGGAAGCCCCGATTCCCAGAGTGCAGCTTCTGAAGAGGGTGTGCGTATTCAGGGAAAGACCGAGAGACAAAGAGAGACAGAGATCTCTTACCTGCTAGTTCACTCTACAGATGGCCATCTCTGCCATGCCTGGATCACGCTGAAGCCAGGAGAAGTCAGGAGCTTCATCTGGGGCTCTCAAGGTGGGTGGCAGCACCCAAATTCTTGAACCTCCTAGGGCACACAGTCACAGGAAGCTGGAATTAGACATGGAGTACCCAGGCCACAGACTGGGTGCTCTGAAGTGGAATGTACCCTCATCTAGGCTCCCGTTGAAGCTCATCTTTGTCACTTAAAACTGTTCTCTGGGACAAGCTATCTGATCTGTTTCATGCATATCTGCTTCACCTGTGACATAGGGACAAAGACGTCCTCCAGCTGGAGTGCGTGGAGGAAGTCACCTCTTAGAGGGCACGTGGGCATGGGATAAGAGAGACATAATAAGTTCAGGAGAAACAGCAGATATTTGCTCTGATGTGTTGGCTTGGTGTAATGCTAGCTTGCTGTTTCTGACACAGCAGTTGTGATAACAGCATTGTCCGAAACATGATTTCCAGTCCTTGTGGAATGTAGTAATTAACATTCTTTTATGGTGTCACCTGAAGAAAACAATTTTCTCCCTAAGGGAACCCGTGCTGCCTCCGGCTTCATTTGTCCATCGGTAGCCACGATGCACCTCTTTAGGATACATTTGACTTCTGTGTTGGCTCAAGGCCTCTGGTGAAAGTTGTGATAAATGTCAAGGAGGCTGACCTTGAATTACCGACTCTGACGCGGCACCATCTGCGATTGCTTGGCGTTTCTGCTCACAGAACAAGAAGCCTCAGCAGGGCCACTTCCCAGTTGTTCTTCAACGCCGGCTCCACGAGCTGCGCCCATCAGTCAGTTACCTGACACAAGCAGAAGATGAATGGAGTATTTGGCTTCTCGCACCCCCAAGCCATGTATCTCTGGCAGGGAGTAGGAGTCACCATCAAAACAACCAATTTTTCATAGGAGAGGGGGCAGGATTTGTGTTTTTTGTCCCCGTTTGTAAATTTGTGAGTGTCGAGAGGAGAATGTAAGGGAGCTCTTTGCGGGGTGTTTCAAGGTTTAGCTCCGACGTGATCGGAAGGTGTCTCCCCAATAGGTTGCACTTGTAAATACGAGTGAGTGAAGAACGGAGACAGAGATGTGAATGTTCTCATCCCGATGCCGGGTCGCTCTGGCCGGCGACTGTGTACATCCATCTTCTGCCAAAGTCGCTGTGTGCCTCTTGTGCACAGCTGGTCCCTGTGGGTGAATTCTGTACAGCGCATTCATAGAAGAAAACCTGATATTTTAAATTCTCCTCCCTTCCTCTGGGAGCTTACTGTATATTCAACACAAACCCTTGCTTTTTCTACCTACAGGAAGGCAAAAGGTCTTGGGAGCCCAGAGGCTGTAGAACAAAGGGAAGCCTGGTGAGAGCTGGTTGCTCAGCACCATGATTCTCTAGCCTTCCTGCTCTGGGTAGGAGAGAAGGGCCTCGCCTGGGTCAGCCGTGTCCTGAAACTGCCCCGGCTCCCATCTCCAGCAGGACTGTTTCTTGTTTAGCTTTGCGTCTCCGTTGGTCCACCCAGCACGGAGAACACTTTTGTATTGTGTTTAAGTAATTATCTGTTGAACACCTGCTGTGCACTGATGCTGCATGGCAGGCACTGAGTAAGACAAGGTCACCTGTCTTTCAGAAGTTCTCAAGATAATTAGGGAAATGACCTTGCAAAGTGCAAGGAAGACAGATTTTCTAATGAAGTAGACCCCAGGACTCACGGGAGCAAAAGTGATCAAACTGTTATCTTTGATCTGGGGAATCTTAAGTCCTGCCAGCTTCATCCCTCTCATGAAGTGTCCAGTCCTGGAGTCTTTGGGAATAGTTCACCAGACAGCTGCATTTTGCTAACTCTTTAAGATACTCTTTCATCATAGCCTTGTATTGCCATCAGGGTTATTCAACACAGGGCAGAACACACATTTGTACTTGGAATGTCTTTCACCATTTATGTGATGGAGTGATGGCCCGGGTAGGAATATTGCCTACTTAGAACTTTCAATGAAAGCACGAACTGTTTAGAGAAAATAAACTCTGTGGGCACTGTTCTGTCTATGGCTGTTTCTCTACCCATGGACTTGGTGGTCAAAGGGGGAACATTAGCAGATAAATGGGAAAATTCCTTGGAATGAAACCTTGAATTCTCCCAAAGTCAGCACTGGGTGATGATGTGAGTCTCTTGAATTCTGTAAGCACACTTCAGTGCCTCCCAAGCTGTGTTTCAGTACAGTTGGGCATCCTCGACAATGGAGCAATGTTGTGCCATATGTGTCATTAGGCAGTTTCGTCCTCATGCAGGCATTGTGGAGCACACTTCCGCAAACCAGGGAGGGATCTGTTGTTGATCCCAGTGTCATTATATGGTGCGTGGCTCTACTTGTTCAATGAACTGACCGTGAAATTGAGGTAATGCTGTATTTTTCTTGCTGGGTCCACCATAGAGTGTATGAAAGTGACTGCATTCAATGGATTAAAAAAATTAGGATTTTTCATGAAGGACATGTGCAGTTACAATCTTTCCAGAGAAAATCTGAGTCTTGTCCATATTTCTCGGATTGATGGGAGCCTATGTTCCAAATAAATTTTTTGTAATGAGGTAGGGAGATGCCAATATTGACTTTAAATATTTTCAGGACCAATAATGTCAACACTGATTTTGGGTCATAACTTAGTGCAGCGCTGAATATCTTAGCGGTTGCTGTAAGAACATGCTTGAAAACGCGCTTGGTCACAGAGGGATAGCTAAGAAAACCCAGGGAACAAGGACCGACTTTCACACTTACACATGAGGCATTACATCGAATACCAGCTTTCCAAAGAGAATTTGAGAAAGGTAATGATATGTTTGCAGGTGAAGTTTTATCTTAATTCCAGAATACTTAGTCCAACTTGCCTTACTTGAAATTGTTACTGCTTTATAAACACAAGTTAAGGATCAGCTGTGTTCACTTAGACTATAATTTGTGAGTTTATTTAAACACCTATTACCTGAAATGATGCATTTCAGGCTTTTTTTATTATTATTAAAAATATGGCATTTTCCCCAAAACGTTTTGCAGCCTTCATCCGGGCACTTCATTCCTGATCTCATGGTTTTGTAGTTAACCCCATCAGGGAATCCAGGAAGTGCTGAAGGGGTTTTGTAGGAGTTGGGAGTCCTGAGGCCCAGGGTTCCCGTGCCTTTCAGGAATGGGTGTAAGTATGAAGGAAAACCTCAGAGTGCCTTGCATGTAGCAAGAAAAATTCGAGAGAAGCTTCCTTGCCTTAACAACCAAGCACTTAGCAAGCTTGTGTTTAAAAACATATCGTTCGTATTCACAGCTTATTAGGATTTGGTGTAGTCTTCAGATGTAGTGTTTCAGACAGTTTTGCCAAACGTGGTTACATCTGTTTTCAAGACATTGTTAACTCCCAGCTTTGTGCAAGGGTGGTGTGCTGGCCTTAAACTTGGGACTCTTCCTTGGGGATGGAGCATCTTTAGCAAGCTCAGACATGAAACTAATAAGAAGTCTTAGTTTCCTGCTTACTCAGCTTTAAGCTTCCCACTAAAAAAAATGTGGGTGAAGTGAAAGTTTGAGCAGGTCCGGTCTTAGAATGCTGCTTCCAGAAGTCTAATTCTACCGCTGCTGAGCCACACCAATCTGTGTTGCTTCTTTCCTCCCCTTGAAAATGGAACCATCGACAGTCAGGTCATTCTGTCTTGAATGTGGCATGTGCATATTTCATGTGTGTGTGTATTTCATGTGTGTGTGTGTGTGTGTGTGTGTGTCACCTGCCAGCTGGAGTGAAAGAATCGTAAAGGCAGTTGTGTCATTTCACTGCTTATGCACCTTCCATAGGGCCAAATGACTTGAGCAGGGCACAGGGTACACATGGAATACTTTCTGAATATGCACTTAGTTAATTCAGAGCTATTTTTTTTAAACTCTCATGTCCCAAGCTGAAGATAACTGAAGAAAAATTATATGGGAGGAAATGTGTATGTATGTTTTTATCTGGGCACGGAGTGGAGAGCGGATGGCAGGATACTGCAACTGGTGAAGGGGTTCAGATGCCTTTGGTCCTGTTCTGTGTGCGATCAGGGTCCCACGTGAGTTGTGCAGGCTTGGGAGTGCTCATCTATCTCCCAGTCCTGAGGCTCTCCTTTTTTCGCTGAAGGAAAACTGAGCAGCCAGAATATTCCAATAGCTCCTTTATGCTTCTCATTCTCATTCCCAGACCTCCCAAGTTAAACTTTACATTGGTCACGGCTACCAGGCCTTCAAGTCCCTGACCTTCCCCTCTCTCTTTCTCATCTCTGGCCAATCCGTTGGAGTAAGTTTCTTTAATCCTTCCTTCTGACTTCTCTCTGCTTCTTTTCCACCCTCCCCTGTCTTCACTTCAAATTCAATGCATTTTAAAAATAATGTCTAGAAACTTGAACCATTCTTTCGATTTGAACAGGAGAACTGGACAAAGTGCATTTTAAGTGGTTTTTAACTAGATGCTAAGGTAGAAATGTTGGAATATGTACCAATGTAAACACATTATACTTGAAATTACATTCAGAGTTAAAAAGGACTATATAGTGTTCTTTCTATGAGGGATCTCAAAGAATTCACCTTCTGAGTCATGATGTCATTAGATTATATTTTATTAGACATTTTTACAAATTTAAAATACTGCTATTTTTACAAGCACAGAGGAAAATCAGTTTGGGTAATTATATTTAGGCATTCATTAAAATCAACCACAAAATAGAGACACTTTGTTGTGTCATTTATCAATATACTTGATATGTATATCTAAAGTGCATTATGTTACAAAAAATATAGAAATTCAGCAGCACCAAGATACATTTACAAAATAAATACATCAGTTGACAAAATAAATTATGGTAAATGCGATAATAATAATTGGATTAGCCTTGGGAAAAATATTCACAATGACCAATGTGCAGTTTCCTGGAGCCACCGGGAGACAGTTTTATTCCAATGCATTTACAGTATTTACAGACAATAAATATTTCTAATACTTTCCATATGTTCACTATTACAGAAGTTTGTAATACGTCCTTAGAAGATCTTTGCTGAAGATTTCAATGCCTCCTGCAAAAAAGAAGAAAAACAGGAAGAGGCGAAAACAGGTTAGTTTTCCTTACACATGAACACATGGACTCAGCACGTGAATTAGCCTCCAATCACAGTGCAAAGAGACTCATAGGGGAGACTGTTGTAACTAGCTTCCATTGGAGGTGCCAGTGGGTCAGCTGACTAGCTAGGACTCCACGAAGTGGTCAGGCTGTGGTGTATAGATGCTCATTTAGGTGCAACTCTTTTGTTAGCACAGTGGGCTGTGATGGGTTCGGGAGAGTAAGGGATGCTGGGTGGCTGTTCGAGTGTGTCTGGCTGACCCCACATAATCATGAATGCAACCGTTTCTGCATTTCAGTGTTCAGGGCAAAAAAAACCCAAACAAACAAACAAACAAACAAAAAAAACCCTGAGGATTATTTGCTCTTGCTTTCCTGGTGTTTTGAACGGATCTTATATTAGACAATAAGAAAGCCTATTTTCAGTGAGAGAATAACTAGGAATACACTGACTTTTAAAACAGGAGTATGATGTTAGTTTTAGGATGCACTTGGGATTGAAACTTTTGAGTCTCTCTAAACACTGTATGGACTGCCTTTTAAGAAGAATTTGTGAAAGTTTCTCTCTGTCTGGGGTATTTCAAAGGAAATGTATTTCTAAAGAAACAGTAGCCAGAGTTGTACGTGAAAGCTGACATGGTGTGAGAACTACAAGTAAGCAAATTCTTGACAACTTTGGGGTGTTATGTGCATCCCCCCCCCCAAAAAAAAACAACCATGAAGTGACCTCTTTACCAATAGTTTTGGTTGGAATGTTAAAAAGGCTACAGTTGTACTGAGAAGAATATGTTAAGATTAAAATTTCAGCTGGTAAGCAGCTGTGGTGCACGTGAGCCGTAACACCAGAGTGGTGACATCACAACTGCATACGGTATATGCTGAACCTATACGAACTGTTTTATAATGAGTTGTACTGAATGCGTTGAACGTAAGAAGGCAGGCAAGGAGAGAATGGCAAAGTATGTTGAGCAATTATTTCTTCTGAAAGAGAAAAGATGTAAGTGAAAGGGGTCAAGGAGGAGATCTTTTCGCTCTTTTTCCTGACTTCCAGCTGCCGTGTTGTCCTTCTAATTGCCCCTTAAACAAAGGCGTGTGTTAGATTAGCCGGCTTAAAACACTAAGTGTGTGTATGTTTATTGCATGTGCGTGAGTACAACAGTGCTTGGACTGGAAAGCTTTGCACAGTTTTCTAAATTAGTATTGTCAGGGTGAAATAAGTCACCGGTCACTAACAAGTCCTGGGGTGTCTAGATATCTCACTTTCAATATCAAAAGTTGGAAAATGCTGTTTCCAGAGAGTTCTGTATTCCCCAGTGGGTGTGCGAGGAAACTGACACTGAACACAGGGCTTGATTTTTGAGAACTTCCCGTGACAAACTTCACACTTGACATCTATCTCGTCAGGTCTCTGAGATCACGCAAAAGATTTATACAGAGACCACGGGAAAGATAGCCAAAAATCTGAAGAGATTTTATTTGGAGCGTGACATTTGCGTGGCCCTGCAGGGTCCCCTTGGAACCACTCCTCTGTCAGTTAGCAATTCCCTGGACCTCCATGAGCACGGATGGGGTCCACATCTGGCTGCCAACCAGCTCTATCCATGAACATCTGTCACTAATGGGGTGGAGGAGCGAAAACAGAGACATCCTATTTCATCCAGTCACAGCTCTGGACTTGATTAGGCCACTGCCTAATTTTCCCGAGCCTTCCTTTAACCGAGGAGTCGCTGTGGGCACAGCAAGCAACAAGTGCTGATTTTCATTAATTCCCCAGACACGTCCAAAAGCTTCATAAAATTTAAATGAATAAAATCCATGAGGCCTATTTCTAGAACGGTAATGCATAGGCAGTGAAACCAATGGTTAGTAATAGGCTTGATGAAATAGGGTCCCTGCATTCAGTATAAATACCAGTATGTAAAGCTAGAATTGCATCTTCAAAGTATATTGAATCTGTATCACAGGCCACGAGTAGAGGAGGGCTTGTTACTCCCTATGGACCCATTAGACATTTGCAGAAAAAGTCAACCGCGGTGCTAAAGATTCCACTAGTGTCACAGCCCACTGGTTGCTGAAGCAGTATTACCTGTCCAATATAACTGCTTTTTAGATGCTGTTTAAGGAAATCTTTGACAACTTACAGAAAGAAAACGATGGAAAGTTCAAGCTCCCCTTTGAAACATTACTTGGTTATCTTTTCTGCATTAAAGTCAGTATCAAGGACTGGGATGGTAACAGGACATTCTAGGCCTTCAGGGTCCTTTAACTGTAGAATACCCTGATCTCCTAATTCATAAAATGAGGTTTCTATGTGCCACCTCTTTGCCTCACAGAAACACCCATCTCTCACACACTGGTAAGAGATGGTATAATCAGAACAATATCTTTCAAGTGTTTACTATATGATGGGCACTTAACCCAGCTAATCTTATTTAATCTTCTCTGGACTCTGTGAGGTTGGTGTAGTGACTACCTATATTTCACAGAAGACGAAAGTGAGTCGCACGAGGTGGTGAGCTTGACTCAGTCCAGACCCAAGATCTGAACCTGTGTCATTGGACTCCAGGCTCTGGGAGTGCTCTTCCTCCCTGTGCAGCTAGGAGCTAAGGCTAAAGGAGCCACAGACGGGTGAGGTTGCCCTAGTCCCACTGCCATGCCCTGGGACCACTAACTACTCCCTGTGGACCAATAGATGCACGGGACTGTGATTCCTCCCCATCTGAGGCTTGACATGTTTCCGAAACCCTTTCTTTTCCATGAACTGGCAGAAACCAGCGCGAAATTTAATTACACAAATTGAAAGTGTGTGTTTCAAAGTAATCTAATTTCTTTCAATTAAAATATAATTTAATTAGTTGGATGAAATATATATATATAAAAGTGTTGGATGGCTCCGAATTGTTTACTGGGAGATGCTGTCTGGCAATGCTGGGAGATAACATCGGAGCCTTCCCGATTCTCTCTTGTAGTGAGGCTAAGTCTGAAATGATCAAGAAAGTTTGCTCAAGTATGCAAGCACAGGGACTAAATACACATCTCCCACACTGGAGGAAGACACTCCCTAGTTCTACAGGCTTCACTTCCAAAGGCAGCTCTTCAGGGAACTGGTGGAGAGTACAGGAGAGAGTTGGCGTTGGGGGTGAAGATGGGGACAGAGAAATGGGCCACAGAACCCACAAGTAAGGGTCAAGGCCAAAGGGAGGCTTCCAATGGGATGCTGCAAGGCAGCTGGGAGCCCCAAGCAGGGGGTCAGGTGCCGCTTACCATGAGCTGAGCTCAGGCTCTGGCTCGGAGATGTCGGACACGTGGTAGGCGTCGAGCCCGCTCCCGGTGCCCACCGAGAGCGGCCAGGCAGAGCGAGTTCGCCGCTTCTTCTTCTCCTGCTCCTTGCGCTTCCCGGGCTTGCCTTTCTTCTTCTTCCCTGGCGTCTTGAGGGGCTGCTCCTTGTAGGGCTCCACCTTGTTGGTTTCCTGAGTGAGGTACCTGCCCTCGTCGTCAGAGCCGAAGCCGACTGGGTGGTTCTTGGTGTTGGCTGCGGGCTTGGAGTTCGGGGAGACCTCGGAGGTAGCTCTGATCTCGGCGGTGTGGATCTCTGCCATCAGGTGGTGCAGGAAGAAACGCCGCCGCAGGTCCTGGATGGACTTACCCTTGTCATGCAGGAGCTGGTGTTCAGACACGGCCCGTTTGCTGCCAAGAGACAATGGGGGTGGGGAGGAGAGGGAGAGGCGATTAGATGCAGCAGGGGATGAGTGGCTGCGCAGGGATGGGTACATCAGGGAAGGGCAGGGAGCATGGCTAGGAGACTGAAACAAAGGCGTCGCATTCAGGATTTCTCATTTCCAAAGCTCTGTTACCCTCATGGCTCAAAAACAGACAAAAGGCGCCGAAGTTCTCTTTATACTTTTAGAGTTCTGTTGGTGGTGGGGGAGATACATCCAGAAGCCCCGACTTGGGACATCAAGAGGAGGAGGTACCCACGCATGGGTGCACCTGCACACACAGGGAAAGCCCTGACACTGAAGGCTATGGCAGCAGCCACAGCAGAGGAGGGCCCTTACACTGGCAACAGACCCGGAAGCAACGGGCTCTTCTCTGGCCTGCCAAGGCCCTAGACCAGAGCACTTGCAAAAGGTCATGGAGACCTACCGAAAACTAAAGGGTGAGGTTGATGGGGGGGAAAAAAAAACCACTTTGAAATCCAGGTACAGTTTTCCTGTAATGCACATTCTCGGTGAGCTCTCCTCCCACTGAGGAACAGCAGCTGTGGCAGGAAGGTGGTGAGAAGCCTGGCTCACACAGACGTTGTGAGAAAGCGGTGGGGTGGGCTGGGAACACGAATTGCCTTGTGAGCTTACATTCTGTGAGATCATTTTTTTTTTTTTCCTATTGAGCTCCATGCTGAGTTTTCATCTGGGATTGCACAGGGTTTCATTCTGACTCCTTGACAAGCTCACTGTTTGCTGCTTGCTCTCCTTTTGTTCCATCTCCGAGGGAGGCTCCATCCACGCTCCTGGCTTAGCTGTCCAGTCGTGGATTCCTTCATTGTTCTCTGTGCACGTGACTAAGCGCACTGGAGGATTCCAGGAGCGAGCCAGTCGGAACCTGCCTGCTGTAGACTCTGGCAGAACCCCCCAAGCGGGCTCGTCATCTACGCTCCAACCCGGGCTTCCGTCCTGGCCGGGTGCGGTGATGTCTGAGCTCCCTGTGGCCTTTGCAGTCACCGCTGCTCTCATGCCTCTGCACCATGACTCTCATCTTAACGCATGGAAAAATTGGGGTGCAGGGATGAAATGACTCGTTCTGCACAGAGTGAGAACTGGCCAAACTCGTTGATTCTAGAATCAGGATTGTTTTTTGTTTGTTTGTTTTTGGTTCAGCTTCCTTGACTATTTTGCTGAAGCCAAAGCCCAGGCTTGGGGTTGGGGGGAGGCGGTTGGGGGGAAATGGCAAGCAGGGCACAGCTACCACACCATGGCTGTGGCAGACTGGTCAGAAACAGAACCAGCCGGTACCCTCCCCATATACCCAATGTCTACTTTTTGCCATCAAAAGAAGGAATTCAATGGCTAAAGTTAGATCATCACTGAAACGGATGAGTCCAACAAGAGTGTGCGAGAGACAAACAGCATGCTTTTCTCCGGACGGGACTCGAGGCAAGATGCCAGTTTCCTTCTAGTATTTTCGTGTGTGCACTGACTTTGAGCCATGCATCACGTTCAAAGAAGACATGATTTCACGGAAAGGAATTTCACAGGAGCCTGGCTTAAATGAGGCATGAAGGGGTCTTGCTTCCTTCTGGAAGGTGCTACAGGCACTTAAGACTGTGGCCATAGTTGATATTCTGGAAACTTCTAATAACCTGCACATTTGAGGCTGTGGTACTATATATGTATATCCTTGAATAATATTTTTCAAAGAACACTGATAAAATGACATATTTCCTAAGTATTTAATAAATATTAGTTAGCAAAGTGTCACATTAAGATGAAATTCTTAGCCAGTGGGGGAAGGTGTGTAATTTCTTCCTCGATTCCCAACATAGTCTGTCCCCATCGATACGGCTCTCCCAGTGTGTAACACAGCCCACCCTACCTGAACAGACGGGTTGTTCTGTTCCACTCAAGCCACCATTGCTCATGCCCCTGAGACTGGCACAGATGCGTGTCACCTTGGCCAGCCTGTGCACTGAGTCACTCGGTGTCCGGGAGGATTCTCATGGGAAATACTGCACTGTCCTCTCCCTCTGTGTCACCAAAGCCCATGACATGGCACAGCTTTGTCCAGTTTCAAGTAGCTGGTCTCTCCTGAGCTTCAAAGATTTCCCTCTGTCTCTCGGGGGCCGGGAGGGGGAGGCGAGAGGGGAAATCTTCATCTATTAGGAAACACAGGGTTTCTTAAATACTGAACCGGAAACGCAGCTAGACCGCTTACTTGGGGCTTCAGTGCGTGATCCGTCGGATTCGTGAGAAATGAATTTCCTGATTGGGAAACTGCCTCACAGTGCAGGGGCATAATGATATCTGTATCATCAGCAAAGAGTAAGGTCCGCAAAGCCGTCTGTTTCCAAAATCAGACATGAACTGACATGGGAGCAAATGACTGGCATGTACAAACTTGACAGGCAGAAGTGGTGAGCCATAAATTCACATTAAGGAGGTTTTCAGTGCAGATAACCCCGAAACACTGAAGTTGTAAATATGGCCTTGGTAATAGCCTGTTACTCAATACATCTGTAAACATTACAAGGCACAATGGTTCACATGGCATTTATTACCTGCCTAAGCTCTCACAAGGAAAACAGGTATGGTTTTACTATCTCCTTTGGTTATGGTAAAAAAAAAAAAAAAAAAAAAAAAAGCAACAAGACTTCATACAGCACAAAACTGAGCGACAACATAGCTGTCTACTTTTTAAAGCAAAATTGCCCTCCAGGGAGGGCTTGGGAAAGGTCTCGGCTTTCTGGAATTACAGAGAGACAGAAAGGCTAAGGCATGATGACAGGAAGGAGAAGCCGTGGAGGATGGAGTCCTGAGTTTGAGAAGAAAGTTCTGTGGTGCATGGAAGAGACAGGGCTAGGGTGTTCGAGTTAAGATGACTCACCCCCAAGTCCCTTCCAACCCAAATGACTCAGGCCCAAGCTATGCTTTTCATTAAGTGGCAGGGACTCAGTCTGGCTCCCAAGCTCATCCGTTAGGGATGCTTGGCTTTCTGACTCTGCTGGGGTTCCCTCTTGAAATCAGGCACCTGCCAAAGGCCAAGGTCATCTGCCCAAGAACATCCTGGGCCTTCCTTCCTGTCTCCACCTTGTTGGAGCCCTGGTGCCCTGAAGTCACACCATTTGGACCAGCAGGTTCCCAAACCTCCCAGTTCAGAACCGCCTCCTGCCTCCTGTGCATACCTTCATAAGCAGCATGCTCCCTCCAAAGTCAGCCCCTCACGGACAACAACAAAACAACTCCTATCCTTCCCAAACGCTTGGTGTGAAAATCCACGGAACACTGTGGCTTGATTATATGCTAAAACCTCCTTCAAGAAGCGAGCATGATTGAGTGTAACAGTAGTCTGATGTTTTGTCTAGCACACAAAATTTACTGCTATTTGGCAGCAGCACAAAAACAAGAGTTTGCTTTTTTTTTTTTTTAAACTCCACTTGGCTGTAATAATTTGATGAAACATCTTCATCTACTGATGACTTCCGTCTCCATGAAAAGTCCTGGTTGTAATATGAGGATCTATTAGCCATTAGCTATGAGAGCGTTTTGTGGCAGTTTTATAACCATGTGCTGAGTGTGAGTATTTCGCTACAATATTACATTTCACCCACAAACAAAACTATAACAGAGTCCCTGGCTGCTACATGGGTTTCTGATGTGTATTTTGCAAAGGTTACAACAAAGAAAGAGTTAAAAATAGCCTTTAGGACGACTTCACACTCTGTGCCCTAATTGTTGACTTTATCATGGTTCATTTACTGTTTCTCAAAAGAGAAAACAGGTATTAAGCAACTTTAAAGAAAAAATTGGCTCTCCTCCAAGAGTCTTTCTTAGTCAAATAAATACAGTATTTAAGTGTGCCTTTAAAAATTTGGTCTTCACCCATATTTACATTTGGATTTTAAATAATCTCGTTTAACACGAGTTTCCAGATGAGCGAAAAGTCTGAAGACAATTTTCAGAAACACATCAGCAGAACTGTGCACTCCGGAAGCACAATGCCGCTTTATCTGCCCTGCAATGTTGTACACAATTTGCCTTAGGAGATTCATAATAGATTTTCCTTTGGGTGCCAAGGTTCAGACATGTCTCAAGTAATTTCATTTAAGGATTTTTCTGCTCGAGTAATAATAGACCAAGGGCTCACATAAAACAGTTGCCTTTTTGTACACCCTCGGGAATTCACAAGGAAGCACCATGAACTTGATTGTAAATAGGAGACAGGGCTTTTCTTTCTTTCTTTCTTTTAATTGTTCATGTAAAAGTTCTCCCTCATTCCTTCTTGGGAGTACAACTTCTCTCAGAACTTGAACTTTACGATTTACTCATCCTGTACAAACTGGGTCCGCAGCCTACAGCTCACTCAAGGATGCTGTTCCACAGGTTAGCGCACAGCCAGGAGATAGCCTAGACACCGCGCACCTACTCCCAGCTTCTCAGACAGGCACAGGCGCTCGCTGAGACAAAGTTCTCCCTCAAAGAAACCACCACACAGCGAATGCCAAGTTGCAAGCATTGGGTCCACAGCACAGACTTGGGACTCCAGAGGCCAGGGCAGAGCCTCTCGCACGCCTCCAGTAACTCCAGCGTTTCCTCCACAGTACGGAGGGGTCCTCCGGCTAGAAGGACGCCGCGGTCAAGCTGCTACTACTTCATTATATAATATGCCCTTCTTATGTAATAGGCTCCCATTTGATATGCCTAAAGTTATGTCATTCATAGTAAAATCAGACGCAAACGTCTCTGCTTTTTTACACACAAATCGCCACTCACACGCAACAGGCACACTTAACGCACCAGCCTCCGAGTTTCAAAACCCCCTTCTGGTCCCACAAGCAACCTCTTGCTCTGCAGAATATCTGGTTGGTCCCCTGTTCCTGCTCACCCCTGGAGGTACCACCAGCTCTGCCATCCGCCCCAGCCTCCCCCCAGCAGGTAGCTGGATAGCCCTTCTCCCTCCTCCCCGCTCCAGGGCAAGAAGCCCGGCTGACCGCCGAGAGCCCTCGGCAGCGCCCCAGCCTGGCAGCCTCCCTGCCCTGGCCTCCCTGCCCCCGGGCGCCGCGAAGAGGACTCGACACTTACTGGCGGCGGCCGAGCCCCTCCACGGAGCGTCCGCAGGAGGGCACGGAGTAGCTCAGTAGGAACACAGCCACGCTCCATTGCGGCAGCAACTTGCGCAGCATCGTGTCCCGTCGCCGTGGGACCTGCAAATAGAGGCGAGGGGCTGAGGTCAGTAGGGCCTCTCCATCTCCCCGCGCACCCTGCTGCCTCCCCAGCCCCATCTCCCAATAGCTACTTGTACAGGGCATCTCCAAAGTTGCAAAGAAGAAAGGAAAGAAGAAAGAGGAGGAAAAAAAAAAAAAACCCAAAACTTTCCCTGGAGCCGGGCTCCGACTTACTTGTTTAGGAATCAGCTAGTCCAACTGTGCTTTTTCCAAACCACAAGGGCGAAAAAAGGGGGAGACGAAAAAGAAAAAAAAAATCAGAAGCGCTTCCTTTTAGATAACAGCGAAAACAAGATGTTTTATGTATGCATCAATGATGCCTGGGCTGTCTACACGTCTCCCATAGCAATGCCTAATGAATGCAGGCAGCAGTGGGTTCTTTGCGTGGAGCCAGGCGGACCCCTCCTGCGCAAAGCAAGTTTCCCCCTGCTGAAGTTCGCGTCCTCGCGCACCGGGCTCCTGAGTTCCACAGCCACTTGCAGCGAGACCCGCGTATATATACATAACCGTGCGTCTACCTCCTCTGGTGGGCTGGCTGCTTCCGGAAAGTTGATTCCACACGCCCCAGGCACGCGTTCCAAGCGCGCGTGTCGTCGATCAGGAGGGCCAGGTGGCGGCGAGGGCGGGATCCGGCAGCGCGAAGGGGCGGTGCGCCCCGCTTCACGGGCGGGCGGGCATATGGGGCCGTCAGTGCAGGTTGGCGGCGAGCTGCAGGGCCGACCGGCCAGCGAAGATTCACACGCTCTCGGGCAAACCTGCCAGGGAAGTGAACGAGTCGCAAAGAGGTGGCGCCCGAGGAACGCGCGCGGGGCTAGAAGGGCGCGGGGGGCGGGGGCACTAGGGCGGCCCCGATCGGTCCCCCGAGCAACTGCCGGGAGATCGTACCAGGAGCCCGAAGCTATGACTACTCTGCGGGCGGCGGCTGCCGCCGAGCTGCCTCCTCCCGCCTGGCTGCCCCCCTTTTCTTCCTCCCCCCGCCCCCCAGCCGCCCGGAGCCCCACCCCGGAGCGCGGACCCCGCCGTGCCGTGAAGCGCAGGGCCGGGAGCCGGGGGACGTGGGCGGATCTGCCCGCTGCCTCCCGGCCCTGCTGGCTCCGGCCCCGTGCCTGGGATCCCCGAGCTGAGGTCCCCGAGGGCGTGCGGACCGCCCCGGGCAGCTGGCGGCCCCGGTTGCACCCGGCTGGACGCACGGGCGCCGAGAGCGCCGGGGGCGGCCGGATGAGGAGGAGGCGGCCAAGAAGCCAGGGCCGAGGACCGCGGGCGGCGGGGCACCCAGGCGCCCAAGGGGAAGAGGACGTGGGGCGCCAGCCTGTGAGTTTAAGGAGCCCCATCAGCTTGCATTGGCAGCTTAAGGAGCTGCCTGGGAACCCTGCTCCCGGGCGCTTTCCTGGGACCAGCGGGGTGCCTGTAGGAGCCAAGGCAGTTTCGGAATTCTAGTGGAAGGCTGCACTTCTCGCGGTCTCGGAACAGCTGGGGACTTCTGGAGACGTCCAGGACTACAGCGCGGGATGGAGCCCTTCCACTCCTTCCCAGTGGGACCCGCTGAGGCCACCGATGTGCCCACCGACCGACACCCCCTCGCCCCCTCTTTCTCGGACTCCCTACTCGGCCATTCCCTGCCTCTGTTGCCGCAGATTCTAGGACAGCGACACCCAGGTCGCTGCCCGCAGACTAGGCGCTGGGTAGTGGGATCTGTGGCGGGAGTGGCTCCCCGAGCGCTGATCTTTTTCTTGGGCGCTTCAGGGTTTGGGAACCACTTGAGGGGTTCGCTCTTGAAGACAGCCCCGTGAGTCCATTGTGTGGCCCTCTGGAAAGCTAATGGGGCTTAGAGACCCGGGCGACCCTTCTTGAGCTGGTGGTTTGCTGCCGATACCCTGGGGTATTGCCCAAGGTAGTTGAAATAGCACCCTGTCCCCGACCCGCGTTTTCTGCCCTGGCGCACCGGAGCTGATTAGCAGCTAACATCTGCCGGGTACTTCGGGTGTGTGGGGAGATGTGGGGGGCACCTTTGCTCAGAAGTTACTATCTCCTTTAAACTCCATACTCTCAAAAACTTGGCTTCCTCCCACCTGAAAAAAAAAAAACTGGGAATTTCCACAGCTTCCCTTGAACATTGAGGAATTTCTAAATGTTGGACCTGTTTGCACGGCAGGACAAGGCTAGGTATCCGCACTTCGAAATGTCACCCTTTGAACTCTTAACACCTTCTGATTTATAAGGAATTCTTTCCCCCAGAGATGCAGGAGCTTTTAATGTAATTAGTAGATCTGAAGGGAGGGGGGAGAGTGAGGGACGAATCTGTTAAAAAAAAAAGAGTAAATCACGAATGAGTCATTTAATACTTGCAACTTGTCTAACATTAAAATAATAATATTTGCTTCCACAATAAATAACTCCCAGGAGTTCTTAGCCAAGTTCAAACTACACAGCCTCTAAACGTCAATACTTCTCCAATAAAGGTTAAGACAAAAAGTCAGATTGAAAATATGAAGTCACGTCAGTTGTAAATAAATTCATGACACTAGCAAAAACACGGTGAGCCCCGGCATCAATGGGCTGCCTTGACTTCTGTGGCTGTTGCTGCTAATTAAACAAGATCGTCTCGCTCCTTCCCGCCCCCCCCCCATGGTGCTAACACCAAACACCTATCAAGTATTTTTAGAATTTCCTCTCTTCCACAAAAATAGAAAATATGGACACAGGAAAAATAAACAATATTTACATAGTCAAAATCCCAAAGCTTCCTCACAGTGGATTACTTCACCTTTTTTTTCCCCCCTGTTTCACTGTCTTTTCTCTGCTGCTCTGGCCAAAGCAGGGAGATGTCCTCAGCCGTTTCTTGCAGAGGGAGTTTTGGCTGTTCTTCGAGAAAGTAAAACCGAATCCCCAGCAAATGAACTTCTAAGAAGCCCTGGCTGTGCCGGTTTCGGGCAGTTATGAGAAAGCCAGGTGCTGGTTCACAGCTGTCCTGATTCTTACGGTCAAAATTTCCTGCAATATATACCCAGGATCCTGACTTTGTGTCTCTGCTGAATTGGATGTTTTCTGGCATCATAATCTAGCTCGTAGTCTAACTGAGCAAGACTCCCATGATAATACTTGGGACACACCAGGGGAGGCTTAGGAGACCCGACCAGTGCCAGGAAACTGAAATGTTGGCTTAGGCCTTGCAATCATGTAAACGCACATTAGCAAATGGGAGGATTTGAAGGACACCCTTTAATCCGAAGCATTTCCAAGTGAAGACAGCTTGTAAGAGCCCCAACTCCACAAACATGTTGCTGGTGGCTGAGGGAACTTGGGGGCTCTTCTGACCTCCCAGCCCTGGTAACAATGTATCAAATCCCAGCTTTCAAAGCAGTTCTCTAGCACATTAAGGAATTCCTCTCAAATGCATTTTGGATCCACCTCCCCAGGGGTATTTCCTTTTATTAAGCTATCATTTCCATTTGTTGTCTTCACCTTTCTCCTGTCTTCCCTCTTTCACCCTACAGCATCAACAGATAACCACTGGAAACCAAATATGCATGTCTTATGTTTTAAACAGTGCTCCTGGACTCAAGAACGGAGTGATTACCAGGAAGCATCCCCAGGAAGTATTTGCCAGTTTCTAGCTGCAAGCCATATCTTTGAAAGCCATTAGAAACCAGCAGCCAGATTCCTGCTCTCTCTTCTCCAGACTTCTTTCTGGGCCATAGGGAGCGGTTGCACAATCCAACCAGGAAGGCTCCCGTTTTGAGTTCATGAAGACGTGTCTCTGATCACACACCTGCCTTGGGCGCTGGGAGGAGGCTGCTGCCAGCTCACCTCAAGGGTGGCCAAGAAAAGATACACAGGGCCTTTCAGGATAGGAAAGGGTGTGTTTCATTCTGGAGTCTCTGTAGTTAGGTGGGAATGAGAAAATCCAGCAGGGGCTGTCTCCTTTTGCCTCCAGGAGGAGCACCTGGATATTCATGGGCCCTGGGGCAGCCTGTCTTTGGGAAAGTGGGCCATGGGCTGCACGCCCTTTACCCCTCCTTGGGTCCTGCGTGATGCTCTGTTTTCTCCACACAGCATAGGACCAGAAAACCTGGCAGGCAAGCAGTTTTCCTGGGAGGAGTTGAAACCAGAGTGGCCTGAGAAGGCCTTTTAGGGAGTGAATTCTTCAAAGTCTCATGGTCGTGCACCCTCCCCAAGTTCACAACAGTCAAAACAAACTTGAGTCATCTTCCCACAGTGGGGGGCCTGTGTGTGTGTACATGTGTGCATTGTGTGTGCGTATGCATGGTACGTACATATGTGTATGTATGTGCAGGTGAGTGCGTGTGTGTGTGTGTGTGAGCCCGAGGGAGAGAACTTGTAATATTCTGATCCTGATCTGCTGGGCTAATGCCCACCAGATGTTCTCGGCTGGGCCAAGCTCTCGCTTCCCTGACATAGACAGCTGGGTGGGACTTGTGTGAGACCCTAGAAAGAGTTTCCAGTCCTGCTGGCTCACACAACAACCCCTGCTCCCAAAACCAACCTGGACTGCTGCCGCAGAAAGCCCCTGGCCCTGGCGCACTCCCTGCTGAAAAGGGAATCATCTCTTTAAACTTATTTTTTTGTTTTGAAAGTACCCATTAACATGCAATGCTTGTATGGGACATAGTGCGATGCAGCAGAGCCTGTGCTTGGTATCCACTGACCAATCAGGCTGCCCCACCACCCACCTGTCTTCCCCTGGGAATCTTCAGTCAGCATAGGAGCTGTTACTGCTAACCCACTCCCAGCCACTGGAGCCTCTACTTGGAATTGACAGTCCTTTCTTCCATTTCACGCCTGGAAGTCGCTGTCCCCAAGCTCCCAGGGGGGCCTCCTGGTGCCCCCTGACAATATATCAGAGAGAAGACAGCAGTCTTGGGAGACTTTAGGGTAACAGGATAATTGTCATCAGCCTCCTGGCCCCCACTTCTTGGGACAGACTTTGGGTGGCCAATGGCAAAGACCATGAGGGAAGA